AACTTCTGTCGAGGTCAGCAGCAAATATGTTAAGACAGCAATGGAAGAACATGAATGATCATGCCGCATTCCAGATGGTCAAGCACTTCTATTTGCCAACTGGTTATCAGCTGGACAAGACATTTGGTTCCTTGCTGAATTTCAGTCGGCCAAACACATCTGCCTTCCAGCTGGTTACCAGCTGGAATTGATGTCTGCTTCCAAGCTGAATTCCAGCTGGTCAAAACCCATCTACAATCCAGCTATTTACCAGCTGGAAATGGTGTCTGCTTCCAAGCTGTGTTCCAACTGGTCAAACCCATCTACTACCCAGCTGGATACCAGCTGGATCGGATCACTTTTTTTATGTTTCCAGACTAATTTCCAGCTGGTAAATTCAATCTCATTTCCAGCTGGAGCCCAGTTGGAAAATATAGCTGTTTCCAGCCGGGATTTTAAACTGGGCTGTAACAAACGAAATGCATACGATATGGCATTTCGGTAGCCTTTTCTGGACCACCCTGTAGAAAGTGGAAACTAGGAAAGGACTTCTGTAACAACCTCCGCACAACTCAAAGACATCCGAGGGTGGGGGCACGAAAGCCATTGCGAAGCGTCTTATAGACGAGGCACGTGAGGCTGCAACGGCCATTTGGCAACAAAGCTTTTCGATTATGTCACCTCCCAGGATTTATTCGTATCTGACGAAGATTGGGACACCAACGAGTGCTGGCTCTTGACAGCTCATCAGTCAAACTCCCAGCCAGAGATATAGACACGAGGTGAAGCAGAGAAAAGTGGAGTTTCTCGTGGAGGTAAGAGGGTGAGACAAATTCTGACCCTACCAAGAAGTCCCATCCCCAACAGCACGTAATTCTCCAAAACAAAGAAATCCAGTCTGACTGTTCAACTTAATTGTACCAAGAAAGGTCTCAAAAGGTGAAGAAACAGTGCGGAAATTTTCCTCTCGAATAGTACAGGTCCCAAAACCATGAAGTTTACAGCGTGAGCGAGGGATGGATTTAGGCGCGAAAACTTCGTCGGATCTTTGGAGGGGATCGGATTTTGTCTCACCATACACTGCAGATGGTGACGTTTCCGTAGAAAAAACCATAACTATGGACGAGACATGGGTAAAATTCTAAGACCCAGAAAGTAAGGAGTAAAGTCATCAATGGAAACATCGTGGCAATCTTCTACCAAAAAACTATCGGGTTAAACAGTCAGCCAGCACAGTCATGGCAAACATATCCTGGAACCACCAGGACGTCATGCATTTGATTACCTCAGAGAAAACGGCTAGAACAGGCCCGTACTTTGCCGACATCCTCCGCAATGATCTCCACCTAAGACTACAGAAGAAGTGAATGGGAAAACTTTACAGAGGCGGTGCTAGGACAAAACGTCACCAGGACAAAATTTCGCGGGAAAATTTTTTTTTACATATCTGAACGGGACATACTTTAGCTTGAAAAAAAAAAATTTGGCTTGCGTAATTAAATATGTGTGATAGTGCTGACGATCATGTTGGAATCGTGTGTAGTGGTCAAGAAATGGACCCAAGGGTGACCCACAAGCATTTCAGAAGAACCTTGTCAACGAACATACAGCTAACATGATAACCATCTATAGACAATAGGCCATTGAAATAATTTCAGGAAGCCTATACATTCCCACGCCTCTTTCGGCGAGTTAGTTGGAAGAGGAATTTGAATGTTTTCTTTAAAGGGTTGATATACGTCATGACATTTCTTGGTGAGGGGGAGGGAAGCAATCCGAGGAAAAAGATCAATTTTCCTCTTTATCCGCCCCCCTTACAAGTCCTCCTCATTCCTCAATCCTGCTGTTTTAAAGATACCTGATGAATGAGACTCCTACTCCCCTGCTGAGATGCCCCTAAGCTAAAATTGCCATTCAAAATAGATAAAGAAACCAAATAGCAGTACCGCTATGACGAAGAGCTGCACCCCGATTTCCCATTCCATTATGGAACCAATGCCACCGTGTTCTCGATGACCTACCAAGAAGCAACAACATATTGGAGGGGTGGCACCAACCATTCTATCACTCTGTTGGGATTGCCCATCTTGACAGATGGGCGATCCCAACAGCCCATCCCAGCCTTGCTCAGAAGCTGCAGAAAGAGCAACATTTGCATGCAGTAAAAAATCGGCAGTATGAGATGGGATTACCACCTCTGAAGAATAGGAAGAAGTATCAACGAATAAATTAGGCTCTCGGCACAATGGAAGCTGACTTTGCTAATCGGGATGTTGTATTGAATACAATTTTTTTCTGACGTTGGACGCGTCGTCAAAATTAATGTCCTGTGATTGAACTTCATCTGTCATGTGATTTCCCCTTATTGGACTTCTTATTTGTGAATATCTTCACGCGATTTCATATTTTGTTATTATATATAATATTATATATTTATATAATATTATATAATTATTATATATAATATTAGCTTGTACTTGGTACTCAGCTTTTCCTGAAGGAAACTTCTTCCTTATGCCTATCCCAGTTCAACCTCCAGCCATATGCGTATAAAACACCAGAGTCACCATTTACTCAGCGGTGACATATTTTCCTGGTGACATTTGTCTGGCGAAAATTTGTCTTCTCACGACAGAGGCACATGGAGAACGCACGACCAAAAGGGAGTCATGTGTCCGTCACAACCATAGATGATCTGCGATACGACGAGTTGCCTCATTGAATGTACGCCCTGGACCATCAGCTTTCCCCTTTAACCCTCAACTGAAGAAGTTCCTTTTTGATCACCGTTCCAAGAACGTGCTGAAGAGGCGACCGTGGCAATGGAATGGAGCCAACGCCAGGGGGCGTCCATTTTTCAGCATAGCTAACGAAAACTCGCAACATTGGTGGAAGATGCGTGTTGCAAGCCATGGGAAATATGTTTTAAAAATAACAATAACACCGCAAGCAACACACGAGTTTTTGGAATGACTTTCATAATCGTAACCGAGACTCACTTAACCCTTTCGTGCATGGTGTCCTCCATAGTGGACGGCAAAATTGTTGGTTATGATGATGGTTTTTCAGTTATGGTACACATACCTCGAAACTTTTGGTGCATACAGTCAACTAAAGGGCCCATAATCTGTTCAGTGTTACTTTCTAGCGGTGGAACATGCAAATATTACGGCAGAGTACCTGCTTAAACGTTAAATCAAAAAAGTCATATTTTTGTTTTACTTTAGATATTCGTGCACGAAAGGGTTTATGGTGGACGAGACTTTTCCTGTAGCACATTGGGCCAGATTCCATGAAACCCTTGGACCATCAAGGAAGGATCTCCGTGGAGTCCTTCACAATTACCCTCTGCATCAAATAGACTTGGAATAAAACTGTTCCAAATCAGGCAAGTACTGTCATAGAGTTGATTTTTTGTGGGCCGCCTGTCAAATAGGTACAGGGCCTTTCATAGTCTTCCCCCCACCCATTCACCATGAATGTCGCTGCCATCAAGTAGATACCTCCAACTTCTGTCAAATTTGCGAAACAGCTGAGATACAAAGTCGTTGCGGAAGTGGCAGGCTGAGATCACGAACCGTTACACTGTTTTCGGATAGAATTCGTACCATTGCTCTTTAGTGGAGAATGGAAAAAACAATATCCAGAGGTTCCGCTTCAGCAGGTGATGAACATAACCACCCATGTGGAATATGTCACTACCTGCAATCAATGGAAGTGCTCCTATAGGGATACGAATTCAATCCGGAACAACAACAAAAAAAGGCAGAAGTCATTTGCGTCGCAATGCTAGCAGCGCCCTCGTGTATTCCACACAGGGGTGAATTCATTCGATGAACACCGTACAGAGGACGGGGTAGTAACATGACAAACCATTTAATACATGATACAGGCTGCGTATCCCCCAATCGTGCTGGCTCATAGGTCAATATCTATTCTTCAGAGCACGACCTGTGAGACTCACACTTTAGCTTTCCATCTTCCAGCCATTGGTCAATCCATTGGACAGGCTATGCCTGTAGGCTATAGAGCAACAAGTTTAGCTTGCACGCGATATATCTGAAGCCTAGGCCTAGGACTTAAAGAAGCGATTTGAGCTTATGCGTAGCCGTACCCAGATCGGGATGATGCGAGGGTCTGCGGTGGCGATGTCCTCCCCGTCGGTAAACATATACACTCCTTTCCTCGTCTTAGGATCCAGGATGGTATTTGCAATGATTCCATGTGTCTCGGCATAAAGACCCGTGGAGATGGCATGGTTATTGGGAAAGGTCACGCTTGGGAAAACTGGTTTCAAACTTTCTGCGTACACTCCGTCCTTTCTCAATGCATCGAAGTTTGGAGTATTCGCCAGGGAGAAATAATCATGCCGGAACCCATCGAACAAAATCATCATGACGAGGTCTTGTTCGATTCCAGCCCCAGGCACCAGGAAGTGGAAGAGGAAGAGGGAAAGGCTGAGGAGTGGCCTAGGCTTACTCAAATCTAGGCCGGCCTGCATTCTCGTCGGACTAGGAAAGAACCTGGATAGTCGACAAACATACCTTTTAATGACTGGTAGCTGTGGGTAATTAGGCCTCACACCGTGAGAGTGGAAACGACAAAGGGGTGGAGCCCGTCATGACAAACACTGCCCGATCGGCGTGCGATCGACCCACACGTGATTCAAAGCTCAAGTATAGTACTTACGAAACTTCGAGACACGACCTGGATACATGCCAGATCCTGGCGTCACTACTCCCAAGAAAGGTATATAGACACTCAATAAACGGGGAACTGTCCATAGAAATATATAGAAACTCAATAAATGCATTCAGTATATCGGTGGGGAGTCATAAGTAACTTCCATTCTTTAACTTCTGGATTTGCCATTCCAACAAAAAAAAAGCAAAACTAAGTAGTGGAGAGGTAGCGAACGGGACGATCCCTACCATCTTTCCTCGATCGCCCCATCGAAACTACACGAGTCATCATGTATTATACCCTATATCAAGGGGAATTAAGAGACCTTCCAACCATAAGGAAATCGTCATGATAGATGAAATTTCGGGCAGAATTTCGAGCAATGAACGAGGACAGAGAGGGCAATATCCACTCAAGCTCGGGGAGAGAATCTTCTCTATTTCAGCCGGCACGTTTCCGGATGTATCTTCGTTTCAGTCTTCATATATTTGCTGAATATTTTTTATCAGTAGTGTGTTTGCCTTCCTCTTTCGGTAGGTGAGATTTCATTACTCCTGATATATTTTCTTCACTTTTTTATGCCATTGTTATGGGTTTACAATCAGAGGGATGACTCTATTCCGATTCGGCAATATTTCTGGAATGTTCTCGATTAAGTTAATTGCCCCCAGGCTCGAAAGGTTACCCCCAGGAGTCTTCAGCCTCTTCCACCTACAGTCCTACAGTGAAGGAAGAGCCAGAAGAGCAAAATAAAGTATAATAATGTCAAATGCTGCTGCGATTCGGCCGCACTTCTAACTCATGGGCTCGTATGATTCATTTTCCCTGCATGTGCTCGCTACTATTATTAGCTGGTGAGGGAATGATGCAGGCGCACGCTGATCTCATACGAGAGAGACAAAAACGGAACACCGCCCAGTGCGGAATCTGAGGAAAGGGTCATGTTGCAAGCGCAAGAGCAGGATCGCCTTCCATTGCGGTTCCATTCCCTCAGTTCAGACTCGTGTACATGTAATAGATGCATTTCAGAATAGGATAAGAATCGAATCGTCCCAGAGCGGGGCGGGAGGCGTCAAAGGAAAACGAATAGTTTGCTGGAAATGACCGGAGAGAATCAACTCAAAAGAAACAGAAAATACTGCATATTCATAAAAATAAGAAATAAGTTGGACAGATGAGCATCTGAGATTTCACCTCTCCCTGTCTCAATTCACAATTAAGTGCCTTTGCCGACCCGATTGGGCAATTGGTAAAGTGAAGCCCTGCCTGGCGTTAGTCTAACATTAGGGACGTAGGAGCCCACCAATCCATCGATGAATCGCATTACCTGAAGAGAAAGGACGCTCTTCCAATAGGATTCAACACAGCTTTTTATAATAAAAAAACACTGCTGGCATGTGATGAACTAGGACTTCGCAGTGACAGCCTTCCTTTTACAGGTCGCAAATATTGAACCTGTAGTGACAATCATGACTAGTTTCAGCAAGAGTGTGTCCTCTTTGGAGCACCTGAGACTGAAAAAGTAGGCCTACTGAAAGTACCAAAATGGACTTATGTTGGAAATATGCATCAGTGGCATTGGTTAATCTTTGACGTATGTAAAGACAAGTACTAAAACTATGGGAATTCAAAACTATTTGAGTAAATTTATATTTTAAAGCACGTATTTCGGGTTGATATCTGAAGAGAGAAATTTTAACAAAAGAACCCACGAAATACAGAATGCTTTCGTAGTAGAAAGCGTTTCGAAGGCCGAAGGAAACATTGAATATCACGATCCACTCACCCAGAGCCGTACCGAGGGGGCTGCGAGCGGTGCGCCCACACAGGGCGCCGACTTCAGAGAACTCCTATTGGCTGCCAAATCGCTACAAAATAAAACTTAAAGAAAATTTGCAAATAATCCTGAATTTAACTAAATTAAACATGGGGATTAATATGTGATGTATTGTTGGAGCTGGGAAAGCTGGAGAGGTATAGAGAGGGGGAGCGCTGGATTGATATCTCGCACGGGGAGGGGGGGGGGGGGGGGCAGGATGTCTCGCACAGGGTGCCAAATATCCATATACGGCTCTGCACTCAGCCATCGCTGCAAGCGTGTATACATGCCTCACGTCTACATATCGTTCAGCGTAAGGCGGGACAAGTCATCCAAAGAAAATAAGCCGGGGGGATATGGTCCGGTTTGGGCCACCAATGAAAAGAGCGTTGCAGATGTAAAGATGTTGTCCATTTGGGGAGAGACAGGGAGACAAGAAGGGAACACATGGCATCGCCAGATGTGCCCTTACGCGAGTTTGGCCGGTAACCCCAGCAGTGTTGCCAAGAGCAACCTCAATCTCTGTTGCTCAGCGATCGGTTTGTTTCTAAACAATGAATCGGTCAGCTAATGAAACTGAAAGGTAAATGAATCGTAGTTTCGGTCAATGACACGACACTCCGAACCAGGGGAAGAGTTGTGATTGCCCGTTAAGGTTGAGATCCAAGAAGGTTCATGGTTCCTCTCGTCATTACCTCCGAGTAAATCTTAAAATTCAAAATAAGCGAGGAAAAGTAACTGATTTTATCCGGTATCTTACCTGTGTCTACTTTGATGTATACCGATTTTCACTATCGTGAGATCAATATTTAATGAGTTATTATCGGAAAGCGAACGAGTGAGACGCTGACGGAGAGGGACACAGACTCCCCAACAGACAAAAAGACCGAATGAGATCACAAGTAACCCCTTTCTTTTCACAAATGGGAGTGCACCATAGGCAGACTTCAAGAGATGAAGCAGGTTGAAACAAGATCACCAAGAATCCACAAGGGCAAACGACCAAAAGTATTTTCTGAAATAGCCGCAATGCCATGCGACATTAAAATACATGGAAAGGCCTTGGTGAAAGGCAAGAATAAGGACACATCACATGCAAGTTTCTTGACTATGATAAGTCGACCCTGAAATGCGGCCGATTCTGAAACTGGCATGATATTCGATTTTCCCTATCTTTCGATAAGCAATTCGATTTTCTAAGTAAAAGTCGACCGGTCGACATTCTGTGCCTTTCGGAAAAAAATGTTCGACCTTCCATGCGTTCACTTTCGACTGTATTCTACATTCGGCTCTTTCTGCCTCCCGGCCTTTCGAGCTATTTCGACCATCAGATGCGGCCCCCATATTCCGAGCTACAATTATACTGGAGGGGCATGAAGTCATTTGGGCAATTTTAAATAATTAAATTAATTGATCGGATATGATGTGAAAATCTGAAAGTTTTGTTAGGAGCATAAAATTACCAAGATTTTTATTTGTTTCAGCGGAGAAAGCTTGATATGGAAAACGGATCCCAGTCCGAAATAGATTTTCTAAATTATTTTTCTTATCATCAAAAAGGGAATGCGATTAGATGGAACGCATCGCAAAATGTTCAAAAGCAGAATGTCAGAGTCGCCTTTGAAGTCTGTGCCGATGCCTTGTTTCTTCGATTCTTGTCTGAGACTAGAAAGCATCTCAAGCAAGAGTGGCGAACGATGACAAACTGAATAGATAAAGAATCGAAACACCTCTAAATTGTATTTAAGAAAGAAAGGGTGAACGGAGATCGGAATCCGACTATTGAGGAAGCAAAAAGGCTTCGAGAATCCCGGCTCATCTTCACCGGACGCGTTTCTCGCATGATATTCAATACCTATGGAGTCCGAAAGACTACGAAATTTCCCTGTTTACAGGTTTGGACTCAAGTTTAAAGGGAATCACTTCAGCATTCCAGTAAACTTTCTTAGGAGCAATAGGGGTCGATAGAATGGCTGAGCACGGTAAGTAAAGAAGCAGGACCTTAAAGCGATTGCGACTGAAGTAGGGCGGCGCCAATTCGCCAAACAAACCCAGGGGGTTGTCATGGTGATGGGGGCACCAACAAAGGGGCAGAGAACGCTTTTGCCCATAAAATGAGTTTGGGTGGGCGTCACCCATCACTTCGTAATGAGTTCCTTTTTTGTCGCTCTCCGTTTTCCTTTTCGGTGTTCCACGAACCCAATTCCCGCATACATTATGTTCAGGAGAGGAAAAAAGCAACGGTCAAGAACGGAGAGAGAAACGACAGGAAGCGGGGCTAGCTTTGTCTGCAGTAGGAAAGTGAAGCTTAGCGTGAATTCAAAGGGATGTCACAGAGCCCAGCACGACATATGCAAGTGATGACTCTTAATTTTCAATCGAGACTAAAAGCTAAAAAATAAATGCATTCTATGAATGAAGCTTATCTCAGGGATTTCTCCGAAGGGAAAATGCTGCGATTGCTCTTTCTCTGAGACTGGTTCAGAAGAAAGTGAATTTATTTCTCATGCATACATACATATGGAAAGCAGAAAGTGCAACAGTCAGCCCCTGCCACACAGGCAAGACACCAGTACAAAAAGTTCAATGAATCAGCTCACATCACATTTAAAGCCTTATGGTTCTTCCAAATGCCATTTGCTCCCTCCAAAAGTATGGAGATGCACTCATTATGTCACATCTTCATGGGCAAGCTCCAAAAAGTAGGGCTTTGTTCCCCACACAATGGGTAAACACTTTTCTTTTAATCAAGACTTTCCTTCAAATGATAATGCAATTTTGAAATTAATGTTCCACCACATGGAAGCTGATGACTCCCTGTATTAAAACAATAATCAATGTCTGGGACATACACTATAAGGATTAGAAATGAGGACTGAATCTAAATGAACACATTCTGGCATGAACAGGGAAAAATTGTCATGTTTTCAGGAAGATTGCCCATCAAGACATGAAGAAACTCATGCAAGAGCAAGGCAATGGGAAGTTTCACTGCAAACAACACACCCTCCATTCAGCCCAAATAACAAAGAGATTCCAATATCACAACGATTACAAGCATAAGGACACACAATGATCAGGTCAGCTGGAACGGTTTGATTGGTCAATTGTCAGTAACTTATCAGGCAACATTTTCATCAGGGCCTGAAAGTCGATAGATCTGTCCCCTCTCTTCACCATCTTCATGGTCATTCCTCCTTCTGTCATCTTCTTCTCCAGGACCAGCACTGTTTTTCCATGCAAGTGGTAGAAGGCATTATGGTACACATACAATAGGGAAAAAGTTGCACCAGTAGAATGGACAAGGAACTCACGAGGTGGCAAGGGGGGAGTGACGAGCTGTGTGGCGCTTGCGGAACCATCTAACAGCAATGACAATGATTCCAATGATGGATGGGATAACAACCAGGAGTATGAGGATCACTGTGAAGTTAATGAATTCCTTTGTACCTTGGGGAGGGAAAGTGTGCAGCTGGAAATGACAAAACCTCCCTTACCAGCAATGGATGATGTAGAACTGGAATCATTGAAACCATCAAGAAGCCGGGAGATTCGTGTGAAGGATCCATTGTGGGAGTGCGGGGTGAGATGGAGAAGATGTGCCAAGAGCGGATATACATCCACATTCTCAACTGTCTCATCAAGATGGAATCCCTTCTTGAATGCTGGTCCAAAGGCAAACATCTGGACACCCATGTCATCCATTTCATTGTCCCATCCATGCATCCCCCTGGTCTCTGATTTCTTCACTGGTTAATAGAGAAGGCCTTAGAGAGTGTTAACCTGCCTCCATGGTGATATACTCTTTAAGAGATGAGCTAAAACATACATTTTCCCCACCAGTCGAGTGACTCAGAGAAAGCATATCCCTTGGGAGCCATTATCAAGAAGGGTGACATCTCTTCTACATTTCTGTAATGCCATCGTTCAGGCATCTCCTCTTTCTTCATGACACGATACTTCCATTTTGAAGAACCATTCAGGAACTTCTCATACACTTCACTCTCTTTCCCTGTCACAGAAGGAATATACATTTTCACTATGAAAGCCTTTAGGCACGATATGAAAATGTAGCTTATCTGAGTATGGTTCACCAAGCTTTGGATAGATGAGAAGAGTAGGAGATGAAGATGCAAAGCGGTAATCATTTTTTGGGGCAATTTCATCCAAGGGGATGATGTTTGATGCATTTACTGTTGCCATCCCATGATCAGAGACAAAAATCATGTTCATTCGATCAAATAGTCCCAAGTTCTTCATCTGCTGAATCATGTAGCCAGTGAGATTGTCCAATTTTTGGATGGTTTCAAGCACCTGCAGGAAACAGACATTAAGGATTAATGCTGTTGGAATCTAAAACATCATTCAAGCATAGAATCTCCTTTCTTCTGCATGCAATAGAGGCTCAGATGAGAGGTCAGTCAGCTGCAGGTGTAAAGTTCTCACCTGAGGAGAGTCAGGACCATAGGTATGACCTGTATGATCAGGTTCATCCACATACAGGATAACAAAGTTGGCAGGGTTCTCTCGGTGGCTAAACCAGGAAAGTGCTGTATCCACACTCTTGTGCCAGTCCAATGATTTGTTGTATTCAATGAAATAAGTAGCTCTTGTCTTGTTCTCTCCATAATGAAACACTTCCCCAGGCCACATGCTCACTCCACTTGCTCGACCACGTTCCTCATTTGTCACCTGCACCATGAAGAAGAAATGCATTATGCCCAGTCCTGGGTTGATTTCAACCCCCTTCCCTTACCCAAAGTGGAATGATGTTGGGATTTCTGGTGGCCATCCGCTCCCTTTTTTCAATAGAGGATTCCCAGAGGTCCACGATTTCGTCCTCGGTCCTGTTGAGCATTGTGTTGGCGATCATTCCATGACTCTCGGCGTACAACCCAGTGATCATGCAGTGGTGATTGGGAAAGGTGAAGGTAACAAAGCAGGGCTTCATTCGCTTCACGACCACTCCATTCGAACGCAAGAAATCCATGTGTGGGATCTCCACTTTTTGGAAATAATCGTGACGAAATCCATCGTAGGAGATGAGCATGACCAGATTCTCCACGGATTCGTTCGAGGCATGGGAAGCAGCGAATATGGAATGGACATTGAATAGGCCTATGATGAGTTGTAAAAATAAGAGGATAGATGAGGTGGAATAGAGATCCATGGTGAGGGAACACGTCAACGCACACAACGATGCGGCTCACGGCCACGCCATCTTTGTTGTCACCGGTCAGCAAGTTGTGTTGCCATAGCAACCACGCTTGCGTTGACTATCCATGTGACTCCCACGTGATCCAACACACCAATCCTTTGTGGCCAAATAGGTCTCTGCCATTTGACTATCGAACGGTATCAGACCAGTTCCCTGTCTTAACGTGATGGATGGGTGACACATCCTTTTCTATGCAGACCAAGCTTTGGAAGTGATCTGATGTTGCCTACCATTGCAACACATAGCTAGAGCGCTCCACTTATATCTGAATCCCATCATTTTTCTTCCTTTTTCCCCACCCTGTCATGCATATGCTTTTTGTCCCCACCATATTTCCCCATGGTACCAGTACTTCCCTTGAATTGCGATACTTCTTCCAACGTTCATAAATGAGCTTGGAACACTGATTTTAACCCATTCTTGGTAACCTCCTATAACGGATTGGTCGTAGCTGACTTGCGAGCGTCTGTGTCGTCGAAGCGGTGGCCTTTCAGAAAGAACTTCATTCTGAGAAACAGCGCATGAAGCTACAAGGCGCGAGGTCCGGCGAGGATGAATTCCCGTCATTCGCGAAGTCGCATGTGCAACTCACACACACGAGAATTAGGAGGATTACGTGGGCAGGTATCCCTTGAAGATGATGAACGCTGCGGACAGCCATCGAAAAGCCGTATAATGAGGAAATTGCAGGTCCTTTCTGAGCTTGTCCAAAGTGACAGTCAATCAGTTCTATGGCAGTACCATGGAATTTCGAACCAATCGTGGGGTGATATTGCTCCCACATCCTCTCTGCTCGCCGGCCCTCGTGCCTTCCTCCTCACCTTCCTCCCAGGGGGAGAGATGCCAAGTGAAGGAAGGTGGGGAAGGGAGGAGGGATGCTGAGCGAGCTGCCATGAGCCACAAGTAACTCTCATTCTGGTCACTTGAAACATTCACGTCCATCAATAGATGCTGAGGTATCCCCAGATGCCATCCTGCCCATACTTCCCGATTTCATTTTGGCAGGATGAGTTAGGTAAAAAATCAGCTTTCACTGGATGACGTCCCTCCCCATTTCGAGCACTGTGAACGCTGACTGACGGACTTTAATGGGCCTTCAAGGAGATGAATTCCTCGACATTCGTCACCCTCCCGTTGCTTTGCTATTGGTCCTACCAGGTGCTGCGTAAATAGCAGGCGAAACAATGCAAAGTGAAAAAGCCTAGAAGTAGAGCTCAGTTTCCTAAATTTCCCCTTTCTTCCCGTGCTTAGATGGATCATTTTGGACTTCACGTAATCAAAGCGAGCAAATATTGCTCTTGGAATCCATCTTCCGCGTAACTTATTTAGCGGAACACATTGACAAGAGAGAGGTGAAGAAGTAAGAAAGAGGAAGAAACTGAAAGACAAATCCCCGAAATCCAGCCGAAGAAAGCCAGGCAAGCCTTGTTTCCTTATTGGCGAATGAACGTCAAGTCTAGGTAAGTCCTCACCTCATCTATGCTCATCACGATCTTGTCGAATATTCGGCTGATGGTTGCATGAACGTGATGGAATCAGAACGAGACTAGAATTTGAAGGAGAAAGAGGGGAAGGTATGGATGGAGGAGGAGCCAGGGTGAATCGAGTCTCGGCCTCGGCAGTGGCCGGGAGGATCCAGGGATCCAAGCCCAGTCGATCCAGTGCATCCACGGGGAACGGATGTCGAGATCAAGTTCAAGGTCAAACCCAAGGCCATGGGCCCAAAGATCGCACAAAGGATGGCAGAGACCAACCAGAATCCCTAAATGATCGACTCAAAGCCTCTCCCCGGGAGTTGGAACCGAAGACGGATCTGGAAATGTTACGAACACGCGTCGAGGACATCCTCCGTAACAAGCACGCGATGCTGAAGAAAAAGAAAGAAAAGGTAGAAGAACTGGAACGGCTTCGCAAAGAGAGCGAAATCAAGGTCGGCTCCTTTATTTGTTTCCAAGACAGAAATGAACCTTCATGAAATTAGTTTTTCATCGTTTTTCGCCAACTTGATTCCGCTCTCATCAGGACAAGGAGAGAGCGAAGTATGAAGGAGTGCTACTGAAGGTCCGGGAAAGCCTAAAGCGTAAGTCTACCTCGAAAATGACAATGATCATAAGTCTGGTGTCTAGACTCATAGTTATTTTGGCGTTGAATTTGCGCTGCCAGAGAAGGAGAACGTGGTGGCACAGCTGACTGAGTCGATCAAGGATAAGGAAGGAACACTGAAGAAGCTAGAGGAGGAGATCGGGATCCTGGAGGAGCAAGTGAGGAAAGCCCAAGAGAGACTAACAGCAATCGTGGACACGAGCAAGAACCTTCAACGAGTGGTCGCTTCCACCCAAAGGAGCATTGGATCCCTCGGCGCTTGTGTGGACGAACAGCTGAAGTATGGTGAGAACTCCTCGGGCCCTGCGCCTTCTGGTTCTCGAGCCAAGAAATCTCAACTCCACGGACACGAAAAGGGAGGAGGGAGTGGGACCGGGACGGAGATGTGTAGCGGGGATGGTTCCCCGTGATCTTTCTTCCCTCCCTTCGCTTTCTTCCCACCTTTCTCTTCGCTTCCCCTGCCCTTCCCTTAGAATCACCTGCATCCATTCACATAATCGAATTCGTAGGCTGTGGATGACTGATGTCTTACCCCCTTTTCCTGACAATAGTACTACCTCACCACCCACAACTTTTCTCTCCGTATTCACCCATCCTCATCCTCATACAGTCTTACTGTCGCAGTTGTTACATTGATGGCAACTGTTACGGCCGTCCTTGGATACAAGCAAGGTGCCGACAGACTGGCCTTGCCTTGCTGATGTACGCACTTCCTGATATGTCCCGTGTCTGACAAGCTGACATGATTCACTGACCAAAAAATAAGGGCAAAAGTCCAAAACCCTTCGTTACAAAGCAAAGCAAAATCTCGTTGGATTATGCCCCCAAGAGCAAGTAAACCAGACTTCAGGATGAAAAAGGCCTGCAAAGAGTGCTCATGCCCTAAGGCATTTAAAAGCATACGAGTTCATGGTCCCCCTGAGAAGCTATCTTTAATCGGGCCTCACATTTTCCTCATGCATTTCTCATCATACCCCTGTACTAAAGAGAAAGCTCTCCATACTACTAACAACACTGACGTTGAATCCTGTCTTGGAGCCTGAAGATAGGCCTCGATAGATCGAGGATTCATAACAAGAAGAATGATGGGAATCTGGACTCGTATTCGTCTCCAGCAAAGCAAATAACGAAGCAAAATGTCCACATTGACTATAGAGAACCATATTGAAAGGCTGTCAACAAGTAGACTGAAGACCCGAGACTTTTTTATCGGCAAATTATATTCACTTCTCGCATCTGTCAATTTCTCAATTTCATAGTACGAAGAAGAATCCCAGTCTCAATGATTATACTGACGAATCCAGTGCAAGATCCAGGGCAAATTCACCCCATCGCCTTGAAGCTGTATAAGGAGGATTGAGGTTCGAGTATGACACTTCTCGGGGAGAGCATGGCATAGGATGCATTGGGATGCCTTGTATCTTGTCAGGTTATGCATTTAACTCAGTCCTCCTGTCTTATTTCTGCATTCACGATCCCTCACGATTCAGACTCTCATTTTCTGCCGAAGGGGTTAGTTCTTGTCCTGGAAAAGCTTTATGCAGGTCACCCAACAACGAAAACTACTGAAGCATGGATGGATCATGGATCGCATGGATCGACTTTAGCAATTTGCCAGTTCAGTCTATCCCAACGCAGAAGCTTTGGTTGAAGCAGCCGGGGGAACGTCTTCCACTGTTCTCTATCTTGGACAACAAACCCAGCTCGGCTGGTATGATGCCTCCTTTCGTAACGAAGTCTCACGACGTAGTTGCTTTACCTTATATGCGGTCTGCCTGCTGGTTTTCTTCCTGTCATCCTAGACCGAAAAAAAAAACTTATTTAGAAGCCTCCTATGGGCATGAGGCATGAGGCAGACGTGTCCGAACCACTGGCTTGAGATCTATCTCGATTCGGAGTAGCTGATCAACTGTCTTCATAAAGAGATAAGTCGTCCTCAGACATCTTGAATACCTGAAAATGTCACTTTCCGAAGGTGTCCTCATTTTTTTATGTTGGAAACATACCGAAGGCGTTCGAAAAATGCATTCTCTCTAGGTATTGAAAATGAATATTGCTATCATTGATCATATCGACAAAGTAGAATAGAATATAAAATATAATTTCGCGATTTCGCGAAAGCTTTCGATACCGTTCCTCACATGAGGTTGCGGGTTAAACTGGAGGCGCACGGTATCCAGGGTAGGACGAGCGAGTGGATAAGTAGCTGGTTGGCAGGAAGAAAGCAACGAATGATGATAAATGGGGAAGCATCGAAGGAGGTCGGAGTCGTAAGCGGTGTCCCTCAAGGCTTGGTCCTTGGACCGCTTCTGTTTTTGGTCTACATAAACGATTTGGATCTCGGCGAAGAGGGTAAGATAAGTAAATTTGCCGACGACACCAAAATAGGTTTTACCATAAGTGGGGAGGCGGATCGGGCTAGAGTCCTAGCAAGATTTAAGTGAAGCATATTTAAAAAAAAAACTCATTAAGAAGGTCGTACCTAGGAACTTGATACAAGACGCAGGATGTAATAGAAAGATAAAAGTATCCCTTCTCCGGGAACGGATATCCTGAACACCAAACCCCTTCATGACCGATAATATCCAAGGGCGAGACATCAGGACTAATAATCTGGAACGGAAAACCTTATCGGTTCCATCCGGGAAGAACCGGGGAAAAAAGGGGGAGTCGAAGGAGGTCGGGAAGAGAGAGAGAGGGATAGCGAGAGCACGAGCGAGGAACAGCTTGTGGGGTGGGGCGGGGATCAAATTGAGATTTGCCTGTGAGACGTTTTTCTAGTGTTCCTGGTGTTGTGTCTTATGTCCCTCCATTATTTTATCTCATCATCCTTTTTCTTTTTTAAACCTTTGAATATTAATATAATGATTATTAATTATTAATAAATGATTATATTAATAAATGATTATTAA